AGGATCAAATAGATATTTGTAAAACATTCTTAGCATAGAATGCCTGGAATATAGTAAGTTCTGTAGAAATATTTCCTTTTTCCATACCGTCTCCCACTTGTTGAGTGAATGAATTAATTCCAACAGCCAAGTAGCTGGTGTTAACCTTTTCTGGCCAAATATGGAACTGGATGCAAGGAAGCTGGGTAAGACACTGAGTGCTACTGATGTCTAGATTAGCAAATTTCAATGTTACGGAGACTTCAGTGTTCACAAGAAAAGAAAATTTAAGCTGAGACACAAAACTCTGAAGCCACCTGGAGTTGGATAGACCCACTTTTTTTAAAGTTTCTGCTGTATTTATTAGTGACATATACAGTTTGCATGTCAGGGTATTCCCTAATTCTTAATTCACAACTCCCCACTGCCACCCTTTCCCACTTTATGTGATCCTTGAACATGTTTTAATCATTGTCATATGAGTCTTCGAAGTTTAAGGAAAACAAAATATTATTACCTTGTCCCCATTAATATTTGTTGTCCATAATAACTTAACTATATTTATACATTCTTGTGTCTATTTTACAAGTATTTAAAGGCTTCTAACTATAACAGAAGGCCAGGTTAAAGGGCAGCCTTATAGGGTACCCATCCTAGTTGGAACATGGGATCAGAGTTGAGATTTATTGATCAGGACCCTGATCTTCAGAAATTTCCAGCAGATTAATTCTGTCTTTAGCTCAGCTCAGAAATGGCAAATGGGAACAGCAGTTAGCAGGCTCCAGGAACAATAGAAGTAATAGATTGCCCTTCTCACTCAATCGCCAAAGTTATTAACTTCTTCCAAAACTACCCTTCTGGATCTCATACAGTAAAAGCTGCCCAACCACTGATTCATAGTAAGAGAGATTATCTAATCCTACTCTTCATTTTACAGATGAAGAAGGTGGCAGAGAATTAAGGTCCTCGCCTCAAGTCAAACTAGATGGCAATAAGTTACAGAGGCAGGATTTGAACCCAGATCTTCTTAGCCCAAATCCACACCCTTTCACCAAATCTCACTGCCTCATAGAGTGAAATAAACCTATGTTCTGATACTTCAGAAGCCTAGGAACATTGGATAGATGAACTGATCTGTCTTTGAAATTGAAAGAAGGCAGTTGGCATTCCCCACCCCACCCCCATAAAGCATGAAATGAGCATCTGTAAAATTCAGTTTTGGTTCCTAAGACATATCCTATGTCTTATGTGTGTATGTTTAGAGCTAGAGATTTGGAGGTGTGGATAAGGGAAGAGAGAGATTAAGGTTCTGTGGTCTCTGTGTTATGAGCTACATTTGAAAATAATAATAGTTAAAATTTATGTAGCACCTTAATGTTTAAAAAGTATCATATGTAATAGATACATTATTTGTATATCCATATTACACGTGACATAGATAAATAGAATATATTCTTATTTGATCCTCACCATAACCTTGTGAAGTAGGTGCTACTATTATCTCCATTTTACAGATGAGGAAACTGAGTTTGAGAGAGGTTGAGTAACTTGCCCAGAGAGTCAAAGCTAGGAGGCATCTAAAGTTGAATTCAAACTCATGTTTTCTCGATTCTAAGTTCAATGCTCTGTCCCCTACGCCACCTAGCTGTTCATTTTACTGGTGATATACTTACCTATCAGTGAATATCCAGATGGTGTTGTTTGTCCTTCATTTTTCAAAGAGAACCAATGACATCATGGTGTGATGTCTTAACATAGGAGTGAATTGCATTTAAGTGAGGCAGAGCTGCGCAAAGTGGTCAACTTCACTCTCTCTTCTAAGTCCAGTGGCAAGACAAGAGTCAGGATGACTGGCGGTGGCCTGGGATGCAGTGGATGACCTTGGTGTCTTTCATGTCTGACCAAGCTCTAAGCACTCCACAGCTCCTGTCTCAGCTGCTGTTATGGGCATTGGAACAAATTATTCTTATCCACCTGTTCTGTAGGAGGGAATTCTTCACATGCTTGAGGTAGACATCCCCCTAGAATATCCTGATAAGCCCTACCCGAATGCAGACAATAGTTTAAGGCCATTCAAAAAATATCCAAGTATCAATGTGCTTTGAAGAAAGGCTGGTAGCAGTGAGGTGATATTACCACTGTCTTAATCAGGATAAAAATAATTTCTATTTACCCATCTGAAGATGTTTCTGAGATATGATTTGTTAATTTAAATTTATTAACTTCAAAAGGCAGCTAAAGTAATTTCCATTTGGATAGGGGTTGATATATTCTACTTAGGTCAGATCTAAAGGTTTTAAATGGTATTAAATGATTTTCTGTAGTTAGGTAGGCATTATCTAGATATGTGTCACAAATGTAACTGCAAAATTACAGATTTCTGTGTGTCTGGTGCGTGGGAAGAACTATATAAAATGTACTAGAAACTTATTAAGACAGTGCCTGTATAAGACTCAGAGTGAAACTAATTGCTGAATCTCACTGCTAAAGGGAATATACAATTAGCTGCTTAGGCATGAGCCTCCATCTTAAATTCTGGTTCTGTAAAAACAGAAGTAGAAAGAGAGATTGCCTTGTAAACATAGATGGCTTAATTACCAAAAAGAAGACATTATCCCTCTTTCCTTGGAGATTGGTGTCTTTTTGAAAATACAGGCCAACTAATGGAAATATATAAAGGCTAAAAGTAATTCCCTAACAGAAAAGTGACCAAAGAATAGGAACAAATAGTTCTCAAAAGAAGAACTGCAAACTACTAGCAATGAAATGAAAGAATCCTCTAAATCACCAATAATAAGAGAAATGAAAATTAAAACAGCCCTAAGGTTTTTTACCCTATACCCAGCAAATTGGCAAAGATGGGAATAGTCGATGTTGGAGGAGTTTTGCAAAGGTAGGAACACTAATGCATTATTGGTGAAGCTGTAAAATAGTATGACCAATTTGGAAAACAATTTGGAATTGTACAAATAAAGTGGCTAAAATGCCCATACCCTTTGATTCAGAGATTCTACTAGACATATATATCATGATGGTCACTGAAAAAAAGAAAGTCCCCATATATACCAGGGTATTTGTAGAAGTTTTTTGTATGTGTGTGATAGCAAAGACATGGAAATAAGATGGATACCTATCAACTGGGAAATGGCTAAACAAATTGTGATATGCGAATATAATGGAATATTGTGCTGTAAGTAACAACAAATATGTTGAAATCAGAGAAGCATGGAAATACATACATGAATTGATGCCAAGTGATGTAAGCAGAGCCAAGAAAACAATATATACAATATTTACAAATGCAAACTGAAAGAATAGCCACTACAAGACAATTGAAAATGAATATTGTAAAATTACAAAGATCAGGCTTGAACCTAAAGAAGAGATATGAGAAGATACCTCCTCCTGACATCCCTGTTGATTTGGAGAGATGGGAAGTCCATGGGAATGGAACATTGAATTTATTTTTAGATTTTTTTTAATGTATTGTTTGCCTTTGCTGATTTCTTTTTACCTTCTTCCTCTTTCTTTAAAAAAAAGTGTTTTTTTTTCTTTTCGTTATATGTGATAGCTCTTTGGGAAGAGAAAAGGGAGAGATACAGGGGGAAATTTGTTATTGTTGAGTCATTTTAGTTGTGTCCAGCTCTTCATGACCTCATTTGGCATTATCTTGGCAAAGATGCTAGAGTGGTTTGCTATTTCCTTCTCTCCAGATCATTTTATAGTTAAGGAAACTAAGGCAAGTAGGGTTAAGTGACTTGTCCATGGTCACCCAACTAGTAAGTGTCTGAGGCCAGATTTGAACTCAGAAAGATGAGTCTTCCTCGCTTCAGGCTCAGCCTTCTATGCACTGTACTACTTAGAAGCCCAGAGGAAATTTATGTAACAGAAAAACAAAATATATCAATGAAATTTATTTTAAAAAATAAAATACAGAGCAATCTGGTGCTTAAAAAAAAAAGTTGTATGACTTGGTGAGGAATTTGCCACATAGATTGCAGGCAAAGGGCTTTTCACCAGAATGCACACACTGGTGCTCTACCATATTGGTGCAAAAGGGGACTTGTTGAAAGTCTAGCTTAGTCAGGAGAGAGGAAGGGCTTATCACTGAGATGTATGTTGTTCTGGGACTTCAATAGGGCAGAAAATTGTACAAAGTCCTTACTGAAGTCTGGATAGTGGTAGGGCTTTTCACCAGTATGGGTATGGCTGTGGTAGGCTGAAGGCCATGTATACACCTTGACACAAAATGGGCACTTGGAAAACCATTTACCTGGGTGCAAGTGCTGGTCCTGCTATAGGGTTCCCTGGTGGGGAACCTTCCCACACAGCTCACAGGCATAAAGCTTGGTACCATTGTGTGACTCAGTTTGACTCTGTGGCTTACTAGACTTCTTGAAAAGCCTTCCCGCACTGTGCAAACTTTCAGGGCTGCTCCTTCTCTTCATCGCACTCTGCTGCTTGGGTCCCTACCTGGCTCATCTGGCTGGACAAGCCTACTATAAGTTGTTATGCCACTGCCTTACTGGGCTTGGGGTTTAGCCACTGGGTTGGTAACTACTCCGCCTGGATATGCCAGTTGCCTCTTGCCTTGGTAACACCTCGTGAGGAGTCTGCTAGGGATAGGTCTATACTTCCTCAAACATTGCCATGATTACTTCTCCCACTCTTGCTATATTGAAAGGAAAGATTGACAGGTCACCAGAGGCTCTGCCATGATTTGCTGGAATGTCTGTCTCTTCCCCAATGCAAGATGAGATCTCATTAATGTACAGGCTTCCTCTAGACTTGTGCTGAAGGTTACTACAGAGGATAGCGGCTTTACATGCTGGACAAGGGTGTTGTCTCCCATATATCCTTGCCTGATCCCTTTCAAAGTCAGCACTTCTACCTTGTGTCTGAAGGTTGACTACTATGCTTAGGTCCCAACTGAACCACTGATGTTGATGAGAGAGAAATTAACATAGAAAACCTCTCCCTTAGAGAATGTGTCCATGGAAGGTAGATCTGAGCTTTCATGATTCTCTTGTGAATTATTTATTGGGCAGTAATTATTATTACTTCCCCCACCATCCTCCTCATTCTTTTCTTCCTCATCATCATCCTCACATTATAAATCCATGGTCCTCTTCCTTCCCTCAGTAGCTTTGTCAGCTAAGCTTCTGTGGGGGAATTCCTGGTTTGGTCTGTCAGGACCTGGTCTGTTCCATATTCCATGGCAGATGGACACTCGTGAAGGAGGCCTGAGCCCATTCAGAAATCTGAAATGAAGAAAGAAACAGGATAAAGAAAACTATAGTAAACATTTGATGCCATGTTGGTGGTCAGAAGGGAACAAGGCATTCACTACAGCTCTTTGTCTTCATGGGGCATCCACACTATGCCCATCATAAGACCACATAAGGAGTGAATTTAAGACTGAGATGTCTAAGTTTTATGACTCATATTTCTTGGGAGATCCCAAACATCTGTTCAACAACCAACATGGAAACAACCAATGAAGTCCAGACAGAAAAACTCAGGGTCACATCTAAAGTCAGACTGTGGTGTCACATAGAAGGAAGTGGTTCAATTTAAACAAAAGACTTCATACTTTCTATAAAATAAGAAAGCAGAAGCCCCCAAAAGACAGAACTACCTGGGGACAGCCATGGTCTATGCAATCAGATCATGAATGAATTGCTCTGAGTACCAATAGTGAATTTAAGACTATATTGTCCCAGAAAGATAAATACAGGCTCTACCTAGGAAGCCTACTCTGTAATGAACGTCTCAGACCTAGGACTTAATGTAAAGAGCCAAGAGGTAACAGGTAGGTAGGAAACCTAACCCTATTATTATAGGATCACAGAATCTTTGAGTTGGAAGGGACTTAAAAGATCATTGAGTCCTACCTCCGACCCAGTGCAGGAATCATTCCTAGTATCAATGTGCCTTACAACCTCTACTTTTATAACCCTACCTATGAACTCATTACCTTATGAGTCAGAGGCAGCTAGGGAGTGCCATAGTGCATAGAGCGCTAAGTCTGAACTAAGGAAGACTTGAGTTCAAGTACAGCCTCAGACACTAATTAGATGTGTGACACTGGGTAAATCACTTAACATCTGTTTGCCTTAGTTTCCTCGACTGTAAAATGAAGATCATAATAGCGCTTACCTTGAAAAGCTGTTTCAGCACCGTGCTTGGTACCTATTAGGAGCAATGATTATTCCCCTTTCTCCCCCTTAGGACCCTGGGTCTAATCTGCAGCTATTTCAAGAACTTTCATTTTACAAATAGTATGTATCATTATTACATATGCATTATTATAATTATTACATTGCATTATAGGCATATATCAATATGTATTTGTATTTTATACAGATATTATGTATGCAAAACTATGTTTATTTTTATTTTTTGGTAGTGTAGAGAGAAACTCATTATAAATCAGCAGGGAATGAAGGAGAAAAAAACAAGCTTACAGAAAATATGTCACAAGATCCAATTAAGCCTGATTATCCAAGGGATGAAACTGAAGAACAACAAACAGATGGTAAATGAAGAAGATCTGTCAATATTTTTATAACAATTTTCTTCAGTAATATATTGGAGTCACTATTTTTGGACTCTAATATCTATCACAGTCCCTATTGAGAAAATGGAAATGACAATACTAATAATAGCTAGTATTTAGATGACACTTCAAGGATTAAAAAACACTTCATAAATATTATCTCACTTGATCCTCACAAAAATCCTGGAAGGTAGGTGCTGTTATTATCTCCATTTTATAAACAAGGAAACTGAGACAGACAAAGGTTAAAGGACTTGCCCAGGGTCACACATCTGGAAAGTGGTTTGGCCACACTTGAATTCAGGTCTGCCAACACTTGCTCCACTGTGCCTCTTGGCTGCCATTTCAGAAAACAAAGATAGAAAAAGTGACTGGACCAGATTTAGTCGATACAAAGGAAGCTGATACAGGAGGTGACACAGCTGTGAAATTTGGTGCTGATGAATCTCAAGATATCTTCAAGAAAGGAAGATACTGAACAATTGAAAATCATTTTGATCATTATTACTGCCCCAAACATCAAGATCTACCCATCCACACTTTTACCTTTTTACTTCTACATGTTATTAATGATATCCTTCCTAAATTTATGAAATTTCATCCTTGTTAGAAATGTGAGAAAGATTTGTGAGAAATATGGGACAGGATTTCCCAAATTATGTTTTATAGCCAGACATTGTCTTTAGTCACACAGTTAACCAAAAGGAGCAGAGGATTCAAGATTCCACTTTGCTTATTGTTTCTTGACTATGAAAAGACTTTTGATGTGATAGAACAAAACTCAATCTTGAAAGCTTCTTATCCTCTAATGAGGCGTTTCCCATATATATATACACACACATACATACGTGTATATATACATATATGTATTTATACACACGTGTGTGTGTGTGTGTGTGTGTGTGTGTCCTCCAGGAAGGACTGAACAGAAGAGAAAATTTATTCAGCGATCCTGCTACTATCATGTGAGATATAAAATCCAGCATGCTTAACAAAGGCTTTTTCTTCCACTGTCATGGAAGGCATCCATCACAGAGGCCAAATGGAAGGTGGATTCCCAGTAGATAATAAGAGCCATCGGATGTTCCCATTTGCAGACCACTCTGTGTTGATTGCATCAAGCTCTGGAGCATTTCTAAGCCTCTGACATGAGATCCATAGTCATATTAAAGAATAAAACCTTAGGAAAACTGAGTAGAACACATTGTCTGGCATGTGATAAGTAGTTAATGTCCAGCTTATAGATCTGGTTCATCAGTAAAGATATCTCAGAAAGAAAGGGCAGGTAGACAATAGTCTGGACCCTTGAACAGGAGGAAGAGAACAGACTGGATAGCATAAGGGAAATTACATAATATTTTCAATCATCACAAGCTTTTTCCTGAAAAAAAAAATGCATTCTTTTGATACCAATATTCTTACAGTGATGGCATATTGCTACATAGTATGTAATATCATAATATTCGAAGAATAAGGGAGATGATATTCCCACTGTGAGCAGTAGTAGGGTCTTCTGAATTCGCTGGCTTTGTAACCCTGAGCAAATCAATAAGCCTCTTGCTCCCCAAGGAATGCTTTAATATTCTAAGTTACAAACGAGTTAATGATCTAAGTTGGTAGAAGGAATGTCCTTACCAGGGGTTGCCTATTCCAATGGGAGAAAAACGTCACACTCTGTTTACAAGAACATAGACCTAGAGTGAGAAAGGATCACAGAAGTCATCTATTCTAATGCCCTTATTTGTCAGTTGAGGAAACTGAGGCCCAGGGCTATATCTTATAGCCCTATAGAGCTTCTAGTTCCTGGTTAAGTGTGCTGGATCTATACTGGATGAAAGTCCAGTTCACATGCATGATTAATACCACATTGCTTAATTTCTCAATAGGTTGGGGAGGGAGTGAGAGGAAGGGAGAAAATTTAAAACAAAAAAAATGAATTTATATTAAAAATAAATAAATAAATAAATGAGACTTTGTTCATATTTTTATATCTCCTATCTGACATAAAATATCTATATATGCAAGATTCAAAGACTTGCTAGTAGAAGCTTGATAAATGCTCTCCATTGCTTTCATCTAGATAAGCAGGAGAAGTCATTAGGACTTTTTTTTTTGAACACATAAAATACAGGAAAGGTCTCATATGTTTTATAGATGTGTATTGCTATCTTGGCCAGTAGCATCCCTTTAAAAAAAATAAATATATCATTAATTTTTAACATTCTTTTTTTTAATTTTTGAGTTCCAAATTCGCTCCCTCCCTCCTGCCCCTCCCCTATCTTTTGAGAAGGCAAGCAATGTGTTATTAATTATATGTGTGAAATCATGCAAAAATATATCCATGTTGGCCATATTGCAAAAAGAAAAGCAAGAAAAATAAGAAAGTGAAAAAATTATGCTTCCATCTGCACTCAGATTGCATTAGTTCTCTCTCTCTCTCTGGAGGTGGATAGCATTTTTCATCATGAATACTTTGGAATAATCTTGGATTATTGTATTGATCAGAGTAGCTAAGTCCTTCACAATTCATTATTATAATATTGCTATTACTGTATGCAATGTTCTCCTGATTCTGCTCACTTCGCTTTGCATCAGTTCACATAAATCTTCCCAGGTTTTTCTGAAACCATACTCCTCATCATTTCTTATAGCACAATAGTATTCCATCACAATCATATATCACAATTTGTTCAGGCATAGGATCCCTTTTTATCAGCTCCAGAGTTCTATATTGTCCTGTGTCCAAAATCATCATACAGTTCTTTCATAGCTAGAGGGCAGAAAGTCTTGAATAACCACCAATTTCATTCTTATACTTCTGGTTGGATTTATTTATGGTCCACTATAGTAATGCATTGCATAAGTCCAATCTCTGCCATTTTTTCCACAAGGTCCCCTCTGGGGAACAATGCTTGAATTCCCAAGGGCCATGCTTCTGTTTCTTGGCCTGTATCAATTTGCAAAGACCTTCAACATATAGCACCTTTCATTTGAGGACAGCCAAGTTTCAGCCTATCACCACAAAACTTATATTCACTGACAACACATTCACTGGTAGAAGTCCCAGACTGTCAGCTACCTTTTGCTATCTCATAGAGTCACAGAACTTGAATTAAGATTTCAGTGGTCATCTAATGTAATGCATACAAGAAACCAATCCCCACCACCGCCCAATGCAACCCATTCCAGTTTTCAACATCTCTAATTGTAAGGAAGATTTTCTTGACGTTAAGTCCAAGTTGGCCTTTCTGCAACCATCACTCCTGGTTCTGTCCATAGAGGGCAAACAGAACAAGTCTAATCCTTTCTCCATTTAAAATCCCTTTAAATAGTAAAAGACACCCATGATGTGTGTCCCTCACCTTGAGTTTTCTTTCTCCAGCCTAAACATGCCCAATTCCTTTACTAGATCCTTATCACCTTGAGTCAGGACCTTTTATAATCCCCTTTGTCTTCTGGATTTGTCTAACCAAACTTGAAAATGAACTGTGTTCACATAGCCTTGGAATTAATTAGTGACACCCTACTTCAGAGCTAAGAACTTTGATTTATTTAAGGGATAATGAATCTCACCATCAGTCTTCTCTAAGAAAATACAGTAAGTTTCTGATACAATTCAATCTCCTGGCATAAAACTACTCCAGGCCCTCTAGGCTGGAAACTGTGTAATGCAAAAGGCTTGCTAAAATCCACATAATTCAA